CTTATCGTCTTCAAGCACGACGGTAAGTGCTCCGCGAACGGTCGGGTCGTCTCAAGCCCGAACACGACTGCTCTAACAAACCGAACGATTTCAAGGAAGCTTACCTCCTCGCGGAGCATCTTGGCTAGCTGGCCAGGTTCGACATCGAGGACTACGTCGTCGCCCGACTCCGAATGCGCTCCGTCGCTGTCGACGTGACCGTCCAAACGTCCATCCGACTCTTCCGAAGTCGCCTCATCGTCGGAGGCGATCTCGCGAGTGGACACGCTCGCTTGGACTAGGTTGGGCGACTTCGAGACGGGTCTAGTCGGCATTTCTAATGTATGGAAGGTTCCGATTATTAGCGCATGTGTTACGGTATGGCACGGAGTCACACATATCATAAGGATGACCGACTGACGTGAGGTCCCCATACGAAGGTCGTGCACTGATGGAAGACCCATGGAGGAGGACAAGGGGGTCTCTGTGACGGTTGTGAGTTGCTCTGTTCGGTTCACATTCATTATTACCTAATTAGTGACGGCTGGAATACGCGGAGAAGTAGACGTACCTCTCGCAGACGCCGACAACCCACCTCGTTGGACCGTGAGAGACATTGTTCCTTGACTTGTGCCATCGTGCAGCGGGGTCACTGGTGTCCAGCAAAGATGTTTTCAGGGGTTTGGTACGTGTCAGTTAAACTGAGTATAACTCACAGGCGTCTGTGTCCGCCTTCTTTCCTTTTTTAGCAGTACCGCTCGGTGTCGCTGTTGCGGAGTTGGCGCGTTTGCGGGCCTTCGGGGCGTCTGCAGTCCAGCCTATTTTGATAGTGAGTGAGCGGATTTTGTGAAGTGCATTGTGCTCACCTTTCTTCAACAATGCATCCGTCTTGGACTTACGTTGCGGCCGTTCCACAGGACCGGTACCCGCGGCGGGGCCGTCAACTTGAACTGTCACCGGTTGCGCCATCGGTGCCGCGGCTGTAGGATTTAGCGCATTAGCACGGTACGTAGCTCTCTGGTTATGTGGCGCAACATTTCTAATCAATATGTCTGTCAACGTACCTCCTGCCGGCGGTGCAGCCGCTGTCTTGTTCAACGAATGACCTGTAGCCTTTGGCTTAGGCGTAGCCTTGCCTGAGCCAGTCTTCGTGCTGTTTGTACTGTTTGCAGATGATGCTTGACTCCCTGCAATATCACTTGGTAAAGGTGGTGAGTGACCTGTTTTTTTGCCAGATGATCGAGTACTCCGCCCTGACATGTCGGACAGACGGAAATTATGAGAGAATACGATGTTTGGGAATATATAGAAAGGAGCGAGTGAGAAGTGAAGCGAGAGGTGGAGGTTTAGAAGAGGATGGTACGTGGCAGAGGAGCAAGAGATTCAGATAACTGACGGACTTTGAATTTGCGGAACAGTACACTACGATCGAGCCCGACAGGCATGTGGCTGCAGTGGGGCCAATGATTGGCCGCGCGGGGGTCCACCCACCAGGCTACAGTTAGCCTAGGTGAATTGATTCAATTTGTTTGCATAGCTTTGTTGTTACTGAGAGCCGTTCGCTGCTGCATTTCACAATTGCAACAACCGCTGTTTCTTAGCACAGGTGTACAATCAGTAGTCACTGCCAACTCAGGAGGCCATTAGTTCGCATACATTTGGGTCCCGTCTGACAGTCATATGTCGATGTCGACGAATGGGGGTAGAGGCCCGTTCGATTCAATGCCGGTCCATCTTGTGCATGGCTGACGCACGCAACGGATGTCGACATAGACAACTCGGGAGTACGGGACTCCGAATTCGATTGATCTCCCGCCTCTTGATTTTTCTGAAGTGCTTGGCCTCCGCGTGCTGCTTGTCTGTCTCACTACGGACCTTGAACAGCTTGTACTCCAGCATATGTCTTCTCACTGGCAACCCCATCTTTCGACTGATGAGCGGTGCCCTGGCTGCACCCTCTACTTTTCTCCGTCGGGTCTATCAAAGCACCTCGCTCAAACCCGAAAGCCCGCTTGCATCGCCGTGCGAGATGGTCGTCTACCCCCGCCTCCTACAGCGCAGCCTCTAGGGCAAGAGGACGACTCGAATGTATTCGATGATGTGGACATGGATGCGCCTCCCGTTCCTCTCGAAGGCGACTTCTACGGCGATTACGATCCCTCCTTCTTTGACGACGAGTCCGCTCCTGATTCCCCCCATGGAGACTCGGACTTCCCGGCGAGCGATGATGACGACGATGATCTCCAGCCGACATTGAGAGCTGGGAGCCCGAGCCCCGTCCTGTGCCTCCCAACACTGGAGGCGACGTCTCGGAGCAGAATCCTGGGGGTTCACCACAGGACCCCGTGGTGCCATCTCAATCCGAACGCAACGCTGTTGAAGCTAATGTATCTCGCAAGACGTACGTCATCCCCTTCCCTGGCCATCATGCTGGGGCCCCCATCCCCCGCTCCGATGTACCTCGCCGTGTCGATGCAAATGAGAAGTATCAAGCATGCCTGAATGAGGCTCCTTCGACCAACCCTTACCATCCGTTCGCCTCACGTCGGGATTGGCTTGTTGGGCATTGGGCAAAGATGCGTGGGCCAGGGTCGACGGCATTCTCAGAACTCCTAGCCATTGACGAGGTACGTGCTAATATATGTATCGTGTTATTCAGTTGACCTCAGCATAATCATGCTATTTCATTTAGGTGGCTCAACTGCTCGCATTGTCCTACAAGAATTCTCAGCAGCTAGACAAGATCATTGATAAGGAGCTACCCCCTTGTCGTCCTCGCTTCCAGCGCCACGAGATTGTTGTCGCGGGTGAGGCAATCGAAGTGTATTTTCGTGATGTCCTAGAATGCATCCGTTCGCTCTTCAGCAACCCCGAGTTTGCCCCCCTTCTCCTCCTTGTGCCTGAACGCCATTACGCCGACGCGGATCACACGGTGCGGGTCTATTTCGATATGAATACGGGAAAGTGGTGGTGGGCGACCCAGGTATGACACCTTTCAAACTACCATCTATCTAAGCCGTCTCTGACTGTTTACGGATTTCCAGAAGGAGCTCGAGAAGAGAAACCCTGGTGCCACAGTGGTCCCCATCGTCATCTCGTCTGATAAGACTCAGTTGACCTTGATCGGGAACAAGACCGCTTATCCTGTGTACATGACACTCGGAAATCTTCCGAAAGACGTACGCAGTAAGCCTTCCCGCCGCGGCCAGATCCTCCTTGCATACCTGCCCACTTCGAAGCTACAGCATATCCCCAACAAGGCCGCGCGTCGCCGCACCCTCGCTAACCTCTTCCACGCATGCATGGCTCGTGTCCTCACACCGCTGTCGTCTGTCGGTGTCACAGGCATGGAGCTTATGAGCGGTGATGGTGTTGTGCGCCGTGGTCATCCAATCCTTGCGGTTTACGTCGGCGACTACCCAGAACAGCTCCTTGTGAGCGGCTGCAAGACTGGGGAGTGCCCGAAGTGCCCGATTCCTCGCGATGAGGTCGGAAGTTCCTCGAACACCTCGCGGGCATTGCGAGACCTCGGAAAGGTCTTCGATGCCTTATCTGCACTAGACGAAGGGCCCACTGCTTTTTCGAAGGCCTGCCACGATGCAGGCATCAAGCCGCTGCCGCATCCATTTTGGCTCGATCTTCCGTTTACGAACATCTACATGTCGATCACCCCCGATATCCTCCATCAGCTATACCAAGGAGTCATGAAGCACCTTATCCTTTGGCTGCAAGAAGCGTGTGGCGAAGACGAGATCGATGCTCGCTGCCGTCGACTCCCTCTCAATCACAA